GTGTGTGTACATACATAAATATATATACATATATATATTTATATATATATATCTATATATATATATATGTATCTATATATATATATATAATAATATATATATATATATATATGTGTGTGTGTGTGTGTGTGTGTGTGTGTGTTGTAATATATATATATATATATATATATAAGATTCGGTCTATCATGGCGATATTAACGCCTTAGAATAAATAACCGCGTAGGTAAATTCTAAGTATCATGAAAATTTAAAAGTAAATAACCGAAATGAGACTTTTAGTAAAGTTAGGTATACCTCATGAAAACAGCAATACTCTGAGAGATCGTGAGGCTGATACATTGCCTATATATAATCCTCGCAGCACTGTTTCCGCCGAAGTGATTTTATGTGTTTCGTTGTCGCTCTATTGGAACCATGGTATGTTTCATTGGGTCGAATGCGAGAGACTCATAAAATCCTATCTTTAGAAGAAAAGAAAAATTATTCTTGATGTCCTTAGTTATTGTCTTAACTAATAACTGGCCACTTATCAAGAATTACCTACCTAGCCTTCATCAGACTGACACATCTGGTTGGCTGATCGGATCCGTTAATAGTCCCTAGAAACCTATATTCGGTTGAGCCATCTCGCTACCGAAGTATTCAGATATAAATAAAATTGGAAAGTTAATAAAGCTCTATAAATAGAACTAGACCGACTCTTTTATGTTTGGTATTTTACTGAGGTCTTTTAATGGCCTCATCCAAATATCTGATATGTTATTTGGAAAAGATTTCATTAAAACCCATTTTAGGAAACTTATGTTCCTCGTGCTATTAAGAGCACATTTAGGAGACTTAAGTTCCTCGTACTATTAATAGTACATTTAGGAAACGTAAGTTCCTCGTACTATTAAGAGTACGTTTATAATTTGCGTACTGCTTAAGAGTACGTTATACATAGAGTCTAATGTGGAGGATCGGCTAATTACACAGCCCCCATTCAGCTTTGAAACCCAAGAGAAGCAAGTTGCTCACTCAAGCTGATTAAGGGCCAAAAAGCGAGAAAGGAAAAACGGGTCGATTAAGTAGCATAACATATAGTTAATGTTTCTCAGGCGGAGAAGTTAAGTGTTCTCGGTTACCCTGTGAGTTTTGGGCTTAGGTCCAGTAGGTCCGTGGTGGTAGACTGGACGTTCCTTACGCCTCAGTGTCTTAAGCACATATGAAGGATGAGCATTATTGCCCGGGATAAATGCTGTAGGCGGATAAATTTTAACTTCCGTTCCTTCATACGATGGAAACATGCCATCTTTTTCAGCTTGTGATTTATGCAGGCGTTTACGCCATTTTCGATTAAAGGCTTTTAAATAGTCTTGGTTATCGAAAGCATCTGAAGTCAACTCAGCTATTGTACCGTCTATTAAGCGTGTACGATAGTATGTATAGCCTCCCTTATCCGTTCTCCATATAATGTCTTTAAATTCAGAACGATCAAGAGGGGCATTAGAGTCATGTCTTCTTGCGAGTATAATCTCTGTAGTCGGAATACGACTTGTGCCTATATTAAGCGCACTAGAACCATCGGGGTCATTTACCTCGTACGTTCCACTTTTAGTGTCTGCTACAGAGATTATGTATGGACCTATCCATTTAGATGTTAATACAGTAGTATCGAAATTACGTTGACGGATGTTAATTCTGTCACCAACCTGATACTCTGCTATCTTCTTGGTAGTGTTCCAACGCTTTTGCCTTTTAAATATAGCTATATTGCGTATTTCTCGCAAGCAAGGATATACAACGTTGGACCTTCTCTAGTTGTAACTCACTATATCTGCCACGATAATAGTGAGCGGGTGCAGTTCCTGTAACCGGATCAGTACACTCGTTCATTTGTGTTTGTACTCACTTAAGGTGGTACGGCCAATCATCTGCATCATCCGTTAATGCAGTACGCAAGCAGAACTTAAGTCTTCTATGGCGCGTTTCATTCGCGCCTTGCGTTTGCGGCGTATATGGCACACCTCTCTTATGGCATATGCCTGATACGAGTATTAGCGATTCCATAACGTCATCGCAGAGCTCACTACCGTTATCAGTGCACATAATACCCGGCCACCCGTGGTCAGCAAAGAATTGGCAGCATAATTCTGCCACGGTCTGCGTATTCTTATCCTTTAATGGATATAGCAAGTTAGACCGTGACGCCACATCAAAGAAGTGGCATACGTATCGGTCGCCTGTGTGCTCGGACGTGGGCAGGTCAACCAGATCAATGATGACCCTGCACCATGGAACATCTTCAGTCACACTCTTAAGCGGTGCGAAACCATAGCGCTTGATCTGATTGAGATCACAGTCTGTGCATGACTGATATACTCTGTCAACTAAAGTTGCCAGCTTAGGGTGCGCGATCCCATGTCGCTTAGCATCTTTAAGTGTTTCTACTACGTTCTGGTGTTTCAGCTTATGATGTTGCTTCAGCCAAGCAATAATGTTTTCATCATTCTGCTCTTCCAGAATAAAGGTAGGGTGTTACGAATCCACTTGCGTGGTCTCTAAGTCTGTAGTGTTTTCAGTGTCATGTCCTGCGCTCGTGTGCGTTTGATACACCTGACTTATTAAATAGTCGCATTATATGTGTATACGCTTCAGGATTGTCTTTCATTAATCCCTTTAAAGATAAGGTTTGAAAGACCTCGGGCTTGGACTTTATGTTATTAAACAGAGTCCTAGCTAGAGACTGACGCT